TGTAGTGGTCGGAATTAATGCTGAAAGTTCTCTATCCCCAAATCTAAAAATCGTCGAAAATTACATTCTGCCATGATCGGAACTCGCCTCCTATCAATTGCCTATCACCAGATGACCACACCCATGCCAACAATTTACAACAAACATCAACAAAAAAATTTAATTTCATGCCAGATTATTTGCCAGTCGCGACACAGCCTGCGAACTTCTCAAATTTCGACGCTGTCCGGAATACCCATGGTCGTGGACCACCTGGGCTAGGTCCCTCTTCACCAGGTGCACCTAACCCAACCATTGGTCTAGGTCAATTTCGATCTGAAACCGTTCAATTCGTGGGAGAAATACTATGTTTCAAAAATTGTAATTGAATTTCGACATGAAGTTCTAACGAATGCAGGCAAAATTGTGGAAGACCCATGGGTGGAATAGCTTCGCCATGATGAAAGGGTGCTGAAAGGAGTGGTCCGCGACCATGGGTCAAAGGGACGACTCCGGAATCAGCCAAGTTCAGTGCCCAGCGCAATAGTCAATTTTCAGTTTCAAATTGAACCTATTGGAAAAGTGTTGTGGATGAATTGCCCACATGGCTAAGGTCGTCTGGGTGTGGGCAACCAGATGGTGGTGATCCGCAATCCTGTTGTTGGCCGGAGGTGCGACTTCCAGCAATTTGTCCATTTTTCGAGTAACTGATTTTGCTTGTTGATTTCTGTCAGATTATTGGATGGTATGGGGAATTCTTGGGATGGAATTGTAGAGGGTATTGAGGAGATGTGTTGGTACCAATGTCCGGAGGTTGTGACGGTGGAGACTAGTAGATGTGGTCGTCAGACGGTGGAGGTAAAGGAGAAGAAGAGTGTGTTTTTGTTATTTTTAATATTTTCATAAGTTTTGGATTGATTCACATTTAAATAAGTTTGAAGCATATTGTTATTTATTCTTTATTTTTCTTTTCTTTTCCTTTTTGTTTTATCTATATATGAGGGTATATTGGTCATTTTATGTTAAAAATTGATGAAAA